TGCACATCCTTCTAGTTGCTGTATGTGGGATGGGCCTCAGCATGGCCGGAGAAGCGGTGCGTTGGTGCGCGCCGGGGATCTGAACCCGGGCCGCCAGCAGCGGAGCACACGCACTTCACCATTAAGCCACGGGGCCGGCCCCTAGATACAAGTCTTTTATGTTTTTTTTCCTTAGGAAGATTAGCCCTGCGCTGTCATCTGTTACCAATCTTCCTCTTTTTTTTCTTTTCTCCCCAAAGCCCCAGTACATAGCTGTGTATCATAGTTGTAGAGTTGTAGCTCTTCTATGTGGGACGCCACCTCAGCATGGCTTCATGAGCGGTGAGTAGGTCCACGCCCAGGATCCGAACCAGGGAACCCTGGGAGGCAGAAGCGGAACGCAGGAACCTAACCGCTGCGCCACCAGGCCGGCCACATCAAAGGGTGTCTTCTGAAGCACAAAAGTTTTAGATTTTGGTGAAGTCAAATTTATTTGTTTTTTATTATGGATTGTGCTTTTGGCATAAGAACCCTGCCTAATTTATGGTCATGAAGATTTTTCCTGTTTTTTCTTCTAGAAATTTTACAGTTTTAGCTCTTCTTTTCAGGTCTGCCATCCACTTTGAGGTAGTTTTTGTGCACAGTGTTTGGTGGAAGCAAATGGTGGAATTTCTGGAAACCAGCACATCAGCCTTCCTTCCCAGCAGGACTTTCTCAGAGGCAAAGGGCAGGCCCAGCTCCCTTGGCTGTGGGCCACAGCAGAGCCCCACTAGTCTGGGGGCTAGTGGGTTTCCTGTCAGCACCGAGCTGTCCCGGCACTGGTTGTTGAGGACACCATCTTCCTCCACCCACTTGCCGTGGTGCCTTTGTTGACACTCCGTCCGCCGTCAGTTGTGGGCTGTCCGTCTGTGTCTGTCCTTATGCCACGTTGTCTTGATCATGGCTTTACAGTGAGTATTGACACAGAGAAGGATAAATCTTCCGACTTTGTTCTTTTCTTTTCTCCTCAAAATTGTTTTGGTTCTTTTGGGTCCTTTGGATTTTTATGTAAATTTTAGGATCAGCTTGTCAATTTCTATAAAAAGGCTTTCTGGGGTTTTAATGGAAATTGTGTAGAATCTATAGATTAGTTTGGGTAAAATTGCCATCTTAGCAATATTAAATCTTCCAGTCTGTGTATATGGAGTGTATCTCCGTTTATTCAGATCTTTAATTTCTCTTAACAATGTGTTATAGTGTTCAGTGTACAAGTGTTGTACTTCTTTTGTTAAATTTATTCCAAAATGTTCTCTTTGATGCTACTGTGAAAGAAATTGTTTTGTGAATGTAATTTTCAGGTTGCTCATTGATAGTATATAGAAATACTACTGGGGCCAGCCCGGTGGCGCAAGCAGTTAAGTGCACGTGCTCAGCTGCAGTGGCCTGGGGTTCACCGGTTTGGATCCTGGGTGCTCACCAATGACCGCTTGTCAAGCCATGCTGTGGTGGCGTCCCATATAAAGTGGAGGAAGATGGGCATGGGAGTGTTAGCCCAGGGCCAGTCTTCCTCAGCAAAAAGAGGAGGATTGGCAGATGTCAGCTCAGGGCTATCTTCCTCACGAAAAAAAAAAAAGAAAAAGAAATACTACTGGTTATTATATTGATCTTTTATCTTGTGACCTTGTTGAACTCGTTAGACTAGGAGGTTTATGTGTGTGTGTGTTCTTCCCCCCACCCCGTTATTTTATTTAGGTCATAATGGTTTATAACATTGTGTAATTTCAGGTGTACATTATTATTTATCAGTTTCTGTATAGACTGCCTCATGCTCACCACCAATAGTTCAATTTTTATCTGTCACCATACATACGTGCCCCTTTACCCCTTTCACCAATGCCCCCCTTCCCCTCTGGTAACCACTAATCTGTTCTCTTTGTCTATGTGTTTGTTTATCTTCCGCATATGAGTGAAATCATGCGGTGTTTGTCTTTCTCTGTCTGGCTTATTTTGCTTAATATAATACCCTCAAAGTCCATCCATGTTGTTGCAAATGGGATGATTTTGTCTTTTTTTACGGCTGAGTAGTATTCCATTGTGTGTGTGTGTGTGTGTGTGTGTGTGTGTGTATGTGTATATACATATATATATATATATATATATATGTGTCACATCTTCTTTATCCATTCATCAGTTGATGGGCACTTGGGTTGCTTCCACATCTTGGCTATAGTGAATAATGTTGCGATGAACATAGGGGTGCATAAATCTCTTTGGATTGTTGATTTCAAGTTCTTTGGATAAACATCCAGCAGTGGGATAGCTGGATCGTAAGGTATTTCTATTTTTAATTTTTTGAGAACTCTCCATACTGTTTTCCATAGGGGCTGCACTACTTTGCATTCCCACCAGCAGTGTATGAGGGTTCCCTTTTCTCCACATCCTCTCCAACACTTGTTATTTCTTGTCTTGTTAATTGTAGCCATTCTGACGGGTGTAAGGTGATATCTCATTGTAGTTTTGATTTGCATTTCCCTGGTGATTAATGATGTTGAACATGTTTTCATGTGCGTGTTGGCCATCTGTATATCTTCTTTGGAAAAATATCTGTTCATATCCTCTGCCCATTTTTTGATGGGTTGTTCATTTTTTTGTTGTTGAGTGGTATAAGTTCTTTATATATTTTATTTCCAGAACTTTTAATCATCTCGGATAGAAACTCTATACCCAGCAAATAGTGACTCCCCATTCCTCCCTCCTGCCCCCACCCCAGCCTTTAGTAACCTCTAATCTACTCTCTGTCTCTATGAATTTGCTGACTCAAGGGACCTCATAGAAGTGGAATCATATCGTATTTGTCCTTTTGTGTCTAGCTAATTTCACTGAGCATAACGTCCTCAAGTTTCATCTATGTTGTAGCATGTGTCAGAATTTCCTTCCTTTTTATGGGTGAGTAACCTTCCATTGTGTGGATGGACCACATTTTGTTTATCCATTCTTCTGTTGATGGACCTTTGGGCTGTTTCCACCTTTAGCTACTGTGAATAAAGCTGCTGTGAACGTGGATGTGCAAGTAACTATTTGAGTCCCTGCTTTCCCTTATTTTGGGTATACATCCAAAGAATGGAATTGCTGGATCATATGCTAATTCTTTTTTTAACCTTTGAGAAACTGCTAGACTGTCTTCAACAATGGCTGCACCATTTTACATTCCCACAAGCAAAGCACAAGGGTTCCAGTTTCTCCAACTCTTGTTTTCTCTCTCTCTTTTTTTTAATAAGAGCTGTCCTAATGAGTATGAAATGGTGTCTCATTATGGTTTTGATTTGCATTGCCCTAATTACTAGTGATTGAGCATCTGTTCATGTGCTTATGGTCATTTGGATATCTTCTTCTTCTTTTTTTTTTCTTTGTGAGGAAGATCAGCCCTGAGCTAACATCCGTGCTAACCCTCCTCTTTTTGCTGAGGAAGACCGGCTCTGAGCTAAGATCTATTGCCAGTCCTCCTCCTTTTTTTCCCCCAAAGCCCCAGTAGATAGTTGTATGTCATAGTTGCACAACCTTCTAGTTGCTGTACGTGGGACACGGCCTCAGCATGGCTGGAGAAGCGGTGCGTCGGTGCGCACCTGGGATCCAAACCCGGGCCGCCAGTTGCGCAGCGCGCGCACTTAACCACTAAGCCACGGGGCCGGCCCTTGTTGTTTCATTTTAAAGTGTATAGTTTATCATTTTAGTCCCTGAATGAAAAGAAGGAGCAGACCTTTCCGAGTATGGAATGTGGACTCTAATCCCAAACTGATGTAGGGGAGGATTCATTCCTGAACAGAAGGTTTCAGAACATCCATCTTGATGCCTGCTGTCCCTTCCTAAAGTTAACATCTGATGCCGGCATATACCGTGTTCACGAGGCATTGCTGGTGTGCTGCAGAGCGTGGGAAACTGCTCCTCCGGGGAGGAAGAGGCCCTGCTCTTGTGGTGTGATCTCATGGGTGCAGGTTCTAACTGGCACCAAACCCCAAGGAGCAGAGAAGTAGGTGGCATCAGACGTGGCCTGGCCTTTGCTCCGGGCATGGCCTGAGGAACATAGTCCGTGGTTTTCTTTTCCAGTCACGTACGACTTTCTGGCTACAGAAGACGTAAACAGGGACAGGATCCAAGATGTTCTCTTTCTTTATAAAAATACCAACAGCAGCAACGATTTCAACCGATCCTGTGCTGACGAAGGTAATTTTGTTTTTATCCAAAAAAGGAAGGATTGGAGGAGGAATCCTCTCTCCAGCATTTAGGGGAAGCAGTTGGTAGAATTTCTGGAAACTATCACCTCGCCCTTCCTTCCTAGCAGGACTAGAAAGAGACAAGGAGGCAGGCTCTGGGCTCGGCACCGCACTTGGCTACTGACCTGTGTGGTGAACACAGGGCCCCCATGGTTCTGGGGGGTCAAGGGCCCAGGGACAAAGAGAATGAGCTGTAGTGGGGGCTATGGCTGGGAGCAGGGGGTGAGGAGGAGGGCTGGCAGTGCGGGGCCGGCATGCACGGCCCGCAGAGCTGGGTCTCTCCCCCAGGCTTTTCCTCTCCCTGCACCGTTGTGGCTGCTGTGTCAGGGGCCAACGGCAGTGTGCTCTGGGAGAGGCCCGCAGCCCAGGATGGGGCTCTTGTGGAGTGCGCCATCCCCCAGCCAAGGGACAGCGGGGCATCTTCTGCCTGCATCTTCGTGGGCAGACCCGGTTCTCTCGTCGCAGTTGACTCATTCACAGGTAGGCCAGTTCTCTCGGTGGCTTCACCTGGGCCTCACACCGGAGGTCCAGTGCCCTCAGGGGCAGCGTGACCAGATGGGACGGGAGGTTACAGGGGTGGAGGGAACCCCCACGTAAGGATGCAACCACTCAGCAGTCACGTGCCTCAGCTACTCTGACGTGTCACACTTCACTGTGTCCTGTCACCTCCAGTTTAAATCCTGCTCGTGGGTCATGGCAGAGCGCCTGCTGGGGGTAGCAGAGGTGAGGAGGAGGAGCGGGGCTGCCGCAGGCTCCTGGGCAGTACGTGGGGCAGCCTTCTTCCGCAGCGCCCAGGGCAAGCCAGGCCGTGCCCCTGCACGGAGCCCGCCAGGGCATATCTGGGCCTGTCAGTGCCATAGATGTGTGGGCGCTTAATGTAATAGGCGTGTTTAGGCTCCAAGCATGGCCCCTCGTACCTTACCAAGGTCGTAAGGAATTCTGCACCTCAACACTAGATTTGGGGGGTGTTAGCATTTCCCTTACAAGTTATGCTTTTAAGGATAGAGAAGAAAATGAAGATCAGGCTGGAAGTGTTTTAAGAAGAGAGGACTCCATCTAAAAAATGTGTGGACAAGATTGTGTCTGGGTGAGGTCCCATGGTCCCTAGGTCCATGAACATGCACCTTCATTCTCTCCCTCCCGTGTGCAGGGCACAGGGAAAGGCCTTCATGGGGGAAGGGGGTCTGTCTGTGACCCCAGCAGGAGACAGGGGTCCTGAGGGGCCTCGGGAGGCAGCGAGGTCAGGCCCTGTCCAGGTGGCGAGGATCAGTGTTGGCCCTGAGATGTTCTAGAGCCAAATGTCAGAAAGCACGGATAAGCCGGATAGGAGGGGGCTCTGCAGTTCCCAGAGTCCCGCCCAACCATCTGGAGCCCCGGCACCCGGTCTCCGTGCGTGCGTCTGTGTGCTCAGTGGAGTGTGCATCCTGCACTGGCTGTAGCCTCCTGCTGGCGGCATTTCCGTGTCTGAGCGTGAGCATCTGTGCCACTGCTGGGCTGCGGGGAAGGGGACTTGCAGCCAGCGCACAGTGACGGTGTGCTTGGTTTTAGGCGAAACGCTGTGGAGCCATCCCAGCAGCTTGGGAGGGAATGCTTCCATCCTGAGCCCTCTGCTCCGGGTGCCTGACGTCGATGCTGACGGTGTCCCAGACTTGCTGGTCCTCACCCAGGAGAGAGGGGAGGTACAGTCCCCTCGAATCACCGCGGCCTCTTCTGCCTCCGGTCCACTTCCACTTCCCCGGGCAGAATTTGGGTCTGACCAGCTCTCGGGGGACGCACCCAGGGCCCTGCGCTCCTGGCACCTGCAGACCCAGCACGCTGGGGCGGCTCTGGGGGAGGTTCTGCCCTCTGTCCGGCAGCTTCCAGGCCTCCCCAAGAATGGTCAGAGGGGAGAGTGCCCTCCTGTTTGTGCTGTGGCAGCACAGGGGGAGGCTCTGAGGACCGTGAGGGGCTCCGCAGGCTGGTGTGGGGCTGCCGTGTCTCCCAGGCGCACCGTGCAGAGACGCCCATATCAGACACTCTTCAATCAAAATGGTCTCTCCTCAGATGAGTATTCTGACTCCCTTCTCCTCCTGTGTGCTGCAGGTTAATGGCTACATCTATTCAGGCAGCACTGGGCACCAGATCGGCCACCGAGGCAGCCTCGGTGTGGACGGGACCAGCGGCTCCCTGCTCCACGTCACCAGGGCAGGTGCCCACTACGTCCTTCTCCCCTGCGGTACGTCATGTCTGCCCTCCCAGGACTGCCTCACCCACAGAAGCTGTGCTGGTCTCAGATGAGCCCAGTACCTCGGAGAAGGCAGAGTGTGAGGAACTCGGACTGCAGCCGGGCTCATCCGCTCCTGCTGTATGCCAAGGCTGCGAATTAAGACCGTCAGGCTCAGAAAGCCACGCGTCTCAGCTCCCCGAGGCTCAGGGAGGGCACCACATAGCCTGGATGCGGGGCTGGTGGGCGCGCCTCCTCCCCGGTGCCCGGCAGAGACCCCAGTGACTTGAGGCTCTTCTGTGTTTTGAATAGCAAGTTCCCTCTGTGGCTGCTCTGTGAAGGGCCTCTACGAGAAGGTGACCGGGAGAGACAGCCCACTTAAGACAGACCCCCTCTGGGAGGACAGGCTCAATGCCACCGCCCACAGGCTGCTTTTGCACAGGTTGGTCTGGGCGGCGGATCCTGCAGGTCAGGGCCCGCTCCTGGGTGCACGGAGTAGTCAGGCAGGTGGAGGGACAAGGGCCTTGCTGTTGGGTCCCCTGAGGCCAAAGTCGGCAAACAGAAGCCGAGCAAAAACCGGGAGAAGACAGGTTCCTGACGGTAGGCTCTCCCGCGTCTCCCACCGTGAGGGTCTTGTTTTAATCAGAGAACTAAGAAATGCAGGCTGTGCTGTGGGAACCTGAGAGATGCAGCCCCGGCAGCACTTGGCTGAGGGGGGCGGTCCCAGCCTCCTACCGCCTTCGTGTCCAAGCCCAGTCCCTCCTTCCTCTTTAGCTCGGGAGCCCTCCGCTACCTGATGAAGGTCCCGGGGAAGGCGGGCGAGGACCTCCTCCTGGTGAGTTCAGAGGCCTGTGAGCTGCTGGACGGGCAGGACCTGGCCCCCAGGTGGACGCTCAGTGCAGCCCAGGTCCTGAGGTACGGGGTCTTTCTCTAGGAACCCGTGCCGTTGTTGCAAGCCAGGCACCCCCAGCCTGTCCTCCTGGTGGCCCTGGGGACGCGGCCCTGGGGGGTGGACTGGAGGGCCGTGAGCTCCTGCCAGAAGCTTCCTGCCTGTCACCTGGTGCTGCCCTGTGCCAGAGGGGCTGGTGACACCCCTGGCATCAGCTTCGCGTCCAGGTCCCTGGCGTGGGCAGCCCCCACCCCACCCAGGTGTGGCCAAAGAAGCCGGGTAGCGGACCTGTCCCCAGGCGTCTCCTCCCAGAGGCCCCGTGTGAGCTCTCCTGCCCTATTCTCCTTCCAGAAAACCCACCCTTGGCCACTACAAGCCTGACACCTTGGCCGTGGTCATTGAAAATGGAACCGGCATTGACAGACAGGTTGGCTGCTCTTCCTTTTGAGGTCCTTGCTTTGTTCACAGCGAAGGAAAATTAGTCTGAATGCACACAGCTGTGGCCGGGAGGCTGAGCTGAGACAAGAGGGGCCTCAGTGAGATGTCCTGGTCGCCCTCAGGAGCAGCTCCTGCAGGGCTGGGGGCCCATGTGCCTGTGCGTGCCCCAGCTGAGACCCACACGCTGCCCCCTCCTCCCCAGATCCTGCTCCTGGACCTCAGCACCGGGGCCATCCTGTGGAGCCAAGCCCTCCCAGGCCTCCCTGGGGACCCACAGTCCGCCAGCCTGCCCACTGCAGACCACCGCTCGGCCTTCTTCTTCTGGGGCCTCCACGAGCTGACTGGCACCAACCAGATGGTACGGGCAGGGCAGGTGCTCAGGGGACATGCCCATGCCAGGAGCCAGGGCCAGAGTCCAGCGGACAGGCGTGGGTCCTGCCTTGAGGCACCCAGGAGCTAGCTGGGTGACCGGGCATGCTCAGATAAAGAGAAGCCATTTGAGAGTGGGCAGGATGAAGCGGCATGACCTGGGAAGGCCACAGGGGAAGTCGCGGCTGGAGTCTGCCTTGGGGCAGATGAGGGGCACCTGGGAAGAAGTGGGGGTGCGCAGGGGAGGGCGCACAGGGTTCAGCTGGAGGACACCCGAGAAGGGTCAGGGTCAGTTGGGAGAAGAGGGGCGGAAGGTGGGTGCAGACTTAGAGCAGGCATTTCGCGGAACTCTGGGTGGGGATCCCGGTGGACACGGCTCTGGGCATGGTCACTCTGTCAGGAGTGTCCTGTGAGGGGTGAGCACAGCATTTCCCGGCCACTTGGTGTCTCCGGCCGGACGTGGAGGTGGCTGTGGCCCCGGTCACCTCATGCCCCATTGCTGGTTCTCGCTCTAGATGCCCAGGGATGCCCGGCACAGCCTGTACATGTTCCACCCCACCCTGCCCAGCATCCTGCTGGAGCTGGCCAATGTCTCTGCCAACATCGTCACCTTCCACGGTGAGTGTGGCCTCGGTGTGGCCTGAGCCACCTGCCCTGAGGTCTGCTCGGGCTGGTTCCCCGAGACCTGACAGCCGTGTCCCCCACAGTGGCCCTGTTTGAGCCCAGCCGCCATGCTGCCTGCCTCCTGCTGATGGGCCCGGCCAGCCCGGACGCCCCCGGCCTGGTGTCTGTGGCCAAGCACAAGGTGCGGGACCTCATCCCAAGCAGCAGGGTGGTCCGCTTGGCTGAGGGCGGGCCCGACAGTGACCAGGCCGTCAGGGACCGGTTCTCCCGCCTGCGGTACCGGAGCGAGGCCTAGCCCGCAGAGCACGCAGGAGAGCCTCCAGCTGCTGGAGCTAAACGCCCCAGGACGTCGGCCCTTCCTGCACTGTCTGCACGCCCACTCGCCCACTCCTGACCCCGGCAATGCCTCCACTGGGCCCTCGTCATACCAGGGCCGAGCATGGTGCGGGGACACCAGGCCTCTCCCCTCTCCTGCCTAGCACGCACGAGAACATGGGGCCTCCGTCTGTGCCCCACTGGGCTCATGCTCAAGGCCAGCTGCCTTCACGGTGGTGTCCCCGGGCCACCTTGGGCTAAGCTCGGCCATGCAGCACCCCACCTCCCTCATCTACTGGCCGGAGAGGCCCCTGCTGTGGGAGAGCCCAGGTTCCATCCTGCAGACATCTCCGGTCCCCTCATCTGAGCTGTTCCTTCTCTGCACTGTCCCCTGGGGTCACAGAGCTCAGAGGGTGGTGGGCCCTGGGGTGGCAATTCCCTCCCCCAGCCTTTCGCACTGCCAGGAGGGGAAGACTCCAGTGTGGCTGCTGGTGACTTGCCCTGAAGAGTCCTGACAGCCTGCGGGCAGTGGGGCTTGGGAGGACAGGGCAGTGGGGCTTGTGAGGCCGCCGGCTGGTCGTGGATGCCCCCATGAGGGTTTGCACCCCCAATCTGGCTCCCTGTGCTGTGAATGTCCCGAGGAGGACGCACCCCCCGATACACACTGGAGCTGCTTGTCTCTTGGGGCCCCTGCACCCCTGGGCATGGCCAGCACCTCTCCTCCTCCCTGGTGCTCGGATGCCCTGGCAGTCAGTGTCACCCGATGCAGGACTCACCTCTGTGCCTTGTGGCGCCCCAGGCCCGCCCTGCCATGGTGCTCTGTGCAGTCAGCCATGCCCAGACGAAAAAAGCAGCCTGACGACCTGGGCACCGTGGGAAGAAACCAGAATAAAGGTTTTTGCACTGTCTGAAAAAACCCCCGCGGGCACGTGTGTGCCTTGTGTCTGTCTGCTCCAAAGGGGCGAAATGGATCTGTTGCTGGGGTGCTGCTGGGTCGGGGGGAAGGGTGGCTGAGGAGTGAGGGCCCCTCCCACAGCAAGCTGGAATCCCAGCCGTGGCTGTGGGTGTGCTCCTGCCTGGGACAGGCAGGGGAGCACCCCTGCATGCCCTGCCGCCTGGCCGGGGAGGGACTGGGGCCCTGGCAGGGGTGCCGGGGCAGGGGCTTCAGTGAGATGCAGCTTTGGGTACCAAAGTGATGAAGGTGCTGGTTTCAGAGCATCCTGCAGGAATTTCCTGTGGACATTTAAATAGGAAAAGCCTTGTTCTCCAGCCACACAGATAGAACCACATCCTGTTTCTCCTTGTGAAGGCCTGGGCGGGGCGATGAGGGGGCTGAGGTTGAACAGAGAGCGGGTCCTTGGTCCCTGTGAAAAGCTACCCAGCCCACACGGCCTCGGCACAACGGGGCTGTGGTGATGAGTCCCGCAAGTGAAAATCACCTGAGGCGGGCAGGGCTGGGGCTCAGTGACGCCCGCACCTCCCAGGGTCCAGATCAGGGCCCACAGTGCTGGATGGAGGGGCTGGCTCTGGGGAGGGACCGCCTGTGGGTCCTGAGACAGTGAGCAGCATTAGGGGGCTGGGCCAGGAGACGTCCTCACTGGTGGGCGTCCTGCACCTGGACTTACAAATGAAGCAGCCATGTGCACAGTCACTCTTGGGCGCCTGGGGGTCCGGCCTGTGCCATGCTCCCTACAACTCTGAGGCCTTTGGGCACCACTGGCCCAGGAGACCCTGGACTCAACACCAGGAGTCCCCCATCACGGTCCCCTGGACTCAGTTTCCTCAGTGTCCCCTGGAGCGCTCGCATCCTTGTCCCGCCAGAGCACAAGAGCATTCCCCGCTGTCTCCCCCAAGACAGGCCCAAGTCTGAGCCTGAGTTCAGCCTGAGGGCTGAGGGCTGGGCCCTTCCTCTGCTGTGGACCCCGCACACGGGACCCTCCACACCACCGCCTGTGACACTAACCTCCCGCAGTCCTTCACCACCTCCCTCACTGCATGCCTCATGCACACACCCCCCACACGCACGTATGCACAGGCCTCATGCACACGCACACACCCACACCCCACACTCATGTGTGCACACACACCCCACACGCACATATGCACATAGGCCTCATGCACACACACACCCCCACACACGTATGCACACACACCCACACGCACGTATGCACACACACACCCCATGCACATATGCATGCACACCCACACGCACATATGCACGCACACCCACATGCAATATGTATGCACTCACACACACATATGCACACATACACCACACACATATGCACACACACACACATATGCACACACCCCACACACACATAGGCACACACCCTACACGTACACTCACACCATGATTTGGAACACAGCAGCACGGCCTAGAGTGAGGGCCAAGGGTCTTTTATTTTTGTGTCAGGCGTGGGCCGGAGATGGAGGGCATGGGCCGGCCCTGTGAGAAGGGTGGTGCCCCAGTTGAGTCAGTGAGAGCTGCACCCCCAGAGGAGCGCCTGCACCTTCACCCTGAGTCTGGGGGGGCCCTCTATGGGATCACAATTGGTGTCACCACCTCTTTCCCCGAAGGCTCCGCCTGCCAGCCCTGGCAAAGACCTGCCCTGGCTGTGCACAGGATGGTTCTCAGACAGGTGACGACGTCGGAGCCATCTCTGTACAACTCTGGTGGAGAAGCCGCAGCCTCAAGGAGACCAGACGGAGGTGCACCTTCGGGACACGGTCTGGGACGCACAGTGACGGCCAAGGTGAGGGCAATCCCTGCGGGGCCGGCTCTGCACTCGCTGGAAGGCTGAGCATGGCCCTGTGGAGTTAGGGGAACTCTGTGGGCCCCCATCTCCGTGGGTCCCCTTCAGAGTCACCCGGGCGAGTGGAGCGGGTGAACTTGCCCTGAGGCCTGCATGTCCTCCCCACACGGCAAGTGGCCCCTGCAGGAAGCCACCCTCTGTGCATCCTGCTCCCAGGTATTCGCTGCGATTTAATGGTTCTGGAGATGGGACTGGGCACCCGGCGCCTAACTGAAGACTGCAGAATGCCAGGAGCACTGTGTGGCCTTGGTCTGGTTTGCCCATCCCATCTCTCCGTCCTCCAGGTGACCGGAGCTCGGCCAATGACGCCCCACCTTGGGACCCGCACCTGGGGAGGGGAGGGCTCAAGGGACAGTGGAAGCCCAAGAGAGGCTCCTGTGCCCCACAGCAAGGCCAGGCCCTCTGGGCAGGAGCAGACGCCCATGCCGGGGTCTCAGCAGCTGCCAGGACCCTGGACAAGAGGAGTGTTGAGGACAGCCACCTCCTCCACCGTCAGGCCCATCTAGGCCTCCCCATCACCACCCGCAGGGCCGCAAGCAGCAGCCGCGGGCTCCCCGGAGGCGAGAAGGAGAGCAGGGCTGGGGCTGGAACGCCTAGGCTTCCGCATGAACGGGAACACCCTGGGGGCGAGAAGAGGCCTGAGCGCAGGGCGGGCGAGTGTCCTGCCCGCCTCACTGCGGGCTCGACCGGCTCAGGCGCAGGGCGCTGCCTGGGCTCACCGTCTCTTGGTCTCCGGCGGGATCACGGCCTCCGCCAGCAGGCCCTTGTACATGTCAGACTTCAGGAACCGTGGGTAGGAGTCCTGCAAGAGATGGTGTGCAGCCCTGACCCCTTCAGCCCCTCGCTCTCAGCCAGCTGCCCCTCGGGCCAGCCTGGCACTGCTGGGGCCTCCTCCAACCCCCAGGACCCCCAGTGGACAGTGATGCAGGTGGCCATCCCAGACTGCCCAGGCCAAGTCAGACAGACTCACACATGCACACACACGGGCTCCCATCCAGGTGGGCCGTTTAACAGCAACAGAGGCAGGAGCCGGGGGCTCACGCCCAGAGGATGAGCCACGGCCCCTCCAGCAGGGGACCCCCGAGCAGCCGTTAACAGGGCACCAGTGTCTCCCTGGTTCTCTGTGTGACCGCGGAGTGAGGGCCAGAACATGGAGCCAAATGAAAAACACGGTGGAGAAAAACTGTGTGGTATTCAACACGGAGAGAGAGGAATCTATGAACTGAATTACTTATATTTTTAAAAAACAAATAAATATAAAATGTAAGTTGTTAACGTTAGTGGGAAGAAGGGAAGAAGGTGGGGGGGCAGGGATATGTGTAGATTATTTGAAGGTACTTTGCTTTGTAGACTGGATTTTGAGACTGTGTAGATGCTTTACATAATTATAAAAATAAAGTAATAAATGAGCAATCCCCAACACTGAAAGTAAAGTGGAACACATTTAGCTGGGCATCCACTAGGTGACACCACCCAAACCACATGTGACAGACAGCCGTGCAAGGGGACGTCTCCACTAGGATACATACAAAGCACAGACATGGGGAACACGGAAGCCACTTCCAGTCACTGCACTGTAAACGGTAGTCGTGTTGTTCACGGAGACCCCGAGTGAATTGTGAGAAAGCAGACGAGAGACTGTTAACACTGTGGAAAGATCTTCAGTGGGGGAGTGAGAACAGAGAGAGAAGCTCAAAGAGGCTAAGGAAGCGGGAATCCTAATGCGAATTACAAGTCTCAGTATGAACTCCTGACACATCTTATTTAAAACACATATATTTCCTACTTCTGTCCACTGAAAGGCCTGGACATGACGGCCACCCCAGTCTCAATGACAGGACTGGTGTGCAGGTCAAGATCTCTAAACACCACCCTTGAAAAAGGGCCAGGGCTTCCATGGAAATAACTGACTCCAGGTCCGGGCAGGATGAGCCCCAATTTGTGCTGTGGGACAAGCCATCACCCCAGAAAGCCAGGAAGCCACCACAGACTGAGGACACATCAAATGACTCGAGCCACCCGGCCGGAGATGGGGCCCTCTGAACACCTCACAAGAATAAAAACCCATCGAGTCTGGTGAAAATGTGAATTTATGAGGGTGTTAAAAGCATCCCCACCTCACTGACACCCTTAGCAGATACTAGGGGTCCTTGTTATTTTGAAAAGTAGTGATTAAAGGAAAGAATCAATAGGATGGGGACGCCGGGCCAGCGAAGAGCAGGCGAGGGGAAGGTCTCAGAAGCCTTCCACTTCAGCAACAAAGAGGCCGTGATGCGATTAGAACATCAAACCCTAATGAGATCCCGGATCTGGAAACGACCATCAGTGGCTGCTGATGTCACAGAGAGGCGGCTGGAGCTCCCATACCCCTGAAGGAAGAAGGCATCCAACGCCATCTCTGCAGTAACTGTTCTTGACAGAACCCATCAAACAACAACAAAACCGCAGACACATCTGACCAGACTTTACATGTAACTACTGATTTGCAGAAACACGGGGGACACGGGACAGAGAAGCACGTCCAAGACGCCACAGGGACGTGGTTAGCAAAATCCAGACGGTGGGAAATTCTACAGGACAAAGGACCCAGCTCCTTCAAAATGAAACCAGAAAGCAGAAGGAAAGATCTGGAAAAGAAACCTACACTTCAAAAAGAAGCTTAAGAGGGGCTGGCCTGGTGGCGTAGCGGTTACATTTGTGCGTTCTGCTTTGGCGGCCTGCAGTTCAAAGTTCGGATCCTGGACATGGACCTACGCACCGTTCATCAAGCCATGCTGAGGCGGTGTCCCACATAGAAGAAATAGAAGGAACTACAACTAGGATACACAACTATGTACTGGGGCTTTGGGGAGAAAAAAAAAAAGGAAGATTGCCAACAGATGTTAGCACAGGGCCAATCTTCCTCAAAAAAAAAAAAAAGAGGCTTAAGAGACTTATTAATCAATTCTAACTTATGGACCTTGTTTGGATCCAAATTCAAGCAACGTGAAAAGAAAATAGAAAGATAAATATTTATAGGCCATGGTACACAGCATAAAAGCCCCCCAGAGATGGCGAACCCTGAGCCCTGGAACCTGTGGCCATGTCCCTTACGAGGTAAAAGGACTCTGCAGGTGTGGTTAAGTTAATGATCCTGAGATGGGGGCAGCCTGGGATTATCAAGCTGGGCTCAGTGCAATCACAGGGGTCCTTATAAGGATCAGAGAGGAATCGGAAGATGCTGGCTGTGAAGAGGAGGACGGAGCCACGGGCTGAGGGACACGGTGCCTCCATAAGCTGGGAAAGGCCTGGAAACGGATTCTCGCTGGAACCCCAGAAGGAACTGGCCCTGCGGACAAGGCACCTTCAGCCTGTGAGACCCGAGGCAGACGCCTGACTCCAGAACTGTGAGTGCATGAACCTGTGTTGCTGTAAGCCACCAAGCTCGTGGTGTCTTTTACAGCAGCAACGGGAACGAACACAGAGGCGTGGGGAAGCGTGTCCACGGACCGGCTGTCCGAGGACGCGGAGTGACTGCTGCTGTGTCCCTCGCATCATGCCGGCATCTGTCGTCACGGTGCAAAGGGAGGAAGGGGTCCGTGTCCTTCAGGGGGACTTCCTGAAACATCTACACATAGGAAGTCTGGAAATGGCTCTAAAGTTACGGGGTGGGGGCAGCGGGAGTGGGGGAGACCATGAGTCTGGACAGGCCCCGAGTGACCAGTTTTGAAGCCAGGCAGTAGGTTCATGAGGATTCATCAGTTCACTTTGTGTTTATATTTGAATTTTTCCACATTAAAACGCTTTTTATATATTTATTTTGTGTGTGTGAGGAAGACTGGCTCTGAGCTAACATCCATTGCCAATCCTCCTCTTTTTGCTGAGGAAGATTAGCTCTGAGCTAACATCTGTGCCCATCTTCCTCTATTTTTGTATGTGAGATGCTGCCACAGCATGGCTTGATGAGTGGTGCATCGGTCCGCACCGGAGATTTAAACCTGCGAACCCCGGGCCACCAAAGTGAAGCATGCAAACTCAACCACTACGCCACCGGGCCAGCCCTAAAATACTCTTTAGAATCACAGCTGGACCCTCATTAGGCACGTGCCTGGGGCCAGCCCCTCTGAGCCTCAGTTTGCTCGCCTGTAATGTGCGGCGTGAGCTGAACAACCCACGAGGACAGCCAGTGAGGCTAGCCCCAGGGACAGGGCCAATGTGCACGAGTGTGTGGACAGGGCTTCCGGCCCGCGGCCCTTTGACCTGCTCTCGGGCAGGGGCACTGAGGCCTGGGCTGGGCTGGATCCCCCCGGAGCCTCCCAGGCCTGCACGGTGGGGAGGTGCCCACCTTCTTCATCAGCATGTAGATGTGCAGCTGGGCGTCGTCCAGCACGTAGCGGTGGGGCCGGCGCAGCCCCTCCAGGGTCTGCTCCATCGTCCAGCTGTCGATGTTGACCCAGCGGGTGGCACCAGGGGCCAGGAACTGCCTGTGTGTGGGGTGACAGCCCCGTGTGGGTGCAGGCTCTTCACTCCTGCCAGCAGGCGGCCAGCACCTGACCCGGGCACTCACTGGTACACGGCGTCTGCCAGGGCGGGGACCTGGGCCTGCCCACCATGGCGCAGCTCCTCGCACGCCTCCCAGAAGCTGAGGTTCTCGGCTAGGGGTCCGGGCACAGGTCAGGCCCACCTGTGCTGCCGGCAGGGCTGGGAGAGCCTGGGGGTCCCAGGCAGCAGCTCCCTCTCTGGGACCTGGAACAGGGCTGGGGCTTCTCACCACTGAACTCCTTCCTGAGGAAGTCCAGGAAATGGGCCCGGCCCATAGGGTCTTCCAAGAGCTCCCGGAAGCTGAAGGCCCATCGGTCCACGCGGAGCTTTGTGGGTGCAGCCACACTGGGGGAGGGTGGGGTGGGTCAGGAGCACAGGGAGTGTAGAGGCGGGGGGAGGCAGAGGAGGACACCGCAGGCCCCTCGCCCACCCCGGGCTCACCTGGGTGCGTTCACAACCCAGTAGGTGTCGCTGTCTGTGGTCCAGGGGTTGCTGGGCAGGCACCCCGACACGATAGGGTCATGTGGCTGGTGCTGGCTGCTGAACTTCAGGTACCTGGTGGGGGGGATGGGCCAGGGGCCCCTGCAGGGAGGGGCCATGGGGACGAGGGTGCTGGGGGAGGGTCTGGGCTCTGGCCCGGGGGTCTCCAGCCGCCACCCCATCCCACTCACGCCTCGAGGCAGACGGAGGACTTCACCCGGGTCCGGCCCAGCGCCTTTCTGCAGTACTCGATCTAGGACACGAGACCTGTGAGGCAGCCTGGGTGGGGGACCACCAGCCCTCCCTTCCCTTTCCTCTTGCCCCAGGACCTACCTCCCACCTGTAGAAATCTGTGTTCTTGGTCTGCAAGGGCCAGGGGGGCTGCAGTCAGAAGGCAGGCCCCTGCTGGGGACCGACATCTCACCCTTGCCCCGGCCCTCAGAGCCCCCTCCTCCAATGAGGGGTCTGACTTTCCAGGAAGCTTCTAGGGACCTATAGTCTGGAGTTTTCCAGAATGTTCCACGGAGCCCTCAGGTTCTCAAAGTTGCCTTGAGGTTCCCCCAATTGTCACTATTTCGTATTTTCAAATGTATTTAAATCCTTTTTTTTTGTGTGAGGAAGATCAGCCCTGAGCTAACATCCATGCCCATCTTCCTCCACTTTATATGGGACACCGCCACAGCATGGCCTGACAAGCGGTGCATCGATGTGCGCCCGGGATCTGAACCCAGGTCACCAGCAGCAGAGTGCACGCACTTAACCACTACGCCACAGGGCCAGTCCCTAAATCCTTTTTGTAAACATACGCATGAAAAATGCTGCTATGGGCTCACACTGGGCCCCTGGTCTTGTTAACTTATCTCCAGGTTTAACTCGTCGTGTTCAGAACTCAGAACACGCCTGACACCTGCTCATGGGCCAGGTGAGGGAGTTGTGGCCACGGAACGGACTGGCCCTTCCCAAAGCTCCCAATCAACACAGGGACAGCCGGGTGAGGGTGACAGCACCCTCAGAACGCCCGTTGATTTCAACTTTTCTCAGCTTTCTCTGACCAGCTTTATAATGGGGAAACTATAAACCTATGATCGTGAATCATGATTTCAAAGTTAGGGAGAAATTTATCAGTAAGGTCCTAGAGGAATCTCTTCTGTATTTTGGGTTTCATGGGATTTGAACAGAGGGCCCTGCTGCTACAACGTTTGGACATGTCTGTTCTGGTCCAGTTCCCTCTGGTTCTGGAGGCCACCTGAGGCCTTGGAGGGAGGTGGCTGGTTTGGCCCAGGTCCCAGAGGCCCGGGGCCCTGCTTGTCACCCCTCCAACTCCCTGCGGACCCTGAAGCTGCCCTGGTCTGGGGGAAGAGCCCCCCCCCCTCCCGTCCACTGTACTTACTTGCACCCGGGGCAGCAGGTGGGGGGCGAGAGAAGGCGCGAGTTAGCAGGGGGCTGGGAGTGGGGGCGAGGGCGAGGGGAGAGGGAGACCAGGAGCGGGGCAGTGACGCAGTGGAGTGGCTGCGTCAACTGCCATTTGGATGGACAGACGGACCGACGGATGGATGGCAGCCCCCATGTAGTCCCACAGTGGTGCAGGAGTGGGAGGGGCTGGGGGCTGTGTGCGGGGCCCTCACCATCTGCACTCGCCTGGCAGTGCAGGAGGCCCGCTCTGGACCCTGCTCCAGCACGCTGGGGACCCCAGGCTGCAGAGGGGAGATGAGACGAGGTCGGGGCAGCTCGGGTGGCTGCTGAGACTTAGCCCTGGGGCTATGTTCCTGCCCCCACTAGCCCCATATACTGAAGCTCTGCACCCCACGTCACCTTTTAGTGTGGACACTGACACTCAGAGGAAGCCCGGAACCTGAGTCCTGAGCCCTGAGCCCTGAGCCCTGAGCCCCTGAGTCTCCTCTCTGCCCATTCCCAGCCCACGGCAACCTCGCGCTCCCAGAGCCTCTCTCCAGCACCTCACCCAGGACCTCACCCAGAGCATGGCTCCTCTGAGCTCCAAATCCACGCGTCACCCCAGCCTGGCTCTGCTGCTAAAGCGAAATCCTTAACCTTTCTCCCCACACCTCCCCGTTCTTCCTCACCTCAGCCAATCTTACCTCCACGCATCTGCCAGCTTAAGCCAGAAACCTAACCATCCTTCCTGAGACAGTCCCTGTCACCACACCCATGTCTCGCCACCCTGCCCTCAAACACACTCGCTGGCCTGGCCCCCTTCCTCACGGCTGCCTCATGCCCACTCGCCCGGAGGTTCCCTCCACGTGGACTCTCAGCCCGCCCATGCCCACTCTGCCCTCCTCCCCCTGTCCAGCCCGCCTGGCCTTCAGGTGGAAGACTGAGTCATTTTGCGAGACAGCCCTCACACACACATGCTGGACAGCCCAGGGATTCCTCTCATTTTTTTTTATGGGTTTTTTCCCTTAGGAATTTCCATTCCCGGTTGCTGTGACAGCCCTGGACGCTCCAGCTGTGTCCACTTCACCTCTCTATGGCCCCACACATTACGGGACCTCAAACCGCCCGCCAGGACAACGGTTCTGGGTAAGGCCTGACCCCAGGCCAGCACCCCCAGGAGCTCTTGGCCTGTGATCTCAGTCCCTCATGCTCCGGCCCCACTTTGCCTCCTCCCGAGGATCTTCAGGAGCCCCATTCAGCTTCCTGGTGCCTCTCCCTCAGACCTGGAGAGAAACTGGTTTGTTCCGTGGTCTGGGGGTGGGAGGCAGCCTAGGCCCGGCCCCATGATCTCTGGGTTCGGAAGAGCCGCAGAACTAGAACCTCCTGTCACCCACCAGGACCTCGAAAGGCACGTCCTTCCCACAGGCTCAAAACACAGGTCAGTGTGAGTGTGTGAGAGAAGCGCACTGACTCCGGCAGGACCCCACTGCTGTGCAAGGACCCACCCCTCCCCACACAGGGGCTCACCGGGGGCCTGTTCACCAGCCAGTACGTCTGCTCCTGGCAGGCGATGACCAGCCTGTCCCCCTTCCTGCGCCGCTTAGCTGCTCTGGGAGGACAGGGGGAGTTGGGAGGACCCCGTGCCCACCACAGGACCTCCCACCACCCCTCCGGCAGGGCCCAGGCAGGCAGCCAAGCCTCGGCCGCCTTGGCCGTACTTTCTGGTCCCACGGCCGCAGCACTGGGCAGGTGCTGCCGGGTGTGGGCAGGGCCGGGTCTCACCGCAGCTGTTCCCTCGCCTGCATCACTACCAGGTCCCATGTGTGGCTGATCCTCCTGTGCAGCTGGTCATAGTGCTCCTGGGGGGGCAAGGTCTCAGTGGGGGACCCCCTCCCACGCCCAGCTCTGAGAGGTGGAGGGTGTGGCGTGTTCATGGGCATCTGCATTATCCCAGGGCCTGGACTGTGTGCTCTGGGGCAAACTGTGAGGCCCTGGGGCCACGAGTGGGGCTTGGGTTCCTGGGACTGGATTCAGCCTGGTGGGGGGGGGGTCCCACCTTCTCGTGGTCGACCAGGGCCCCCTGCTTTCGGATGTTCTTCTTGGCCAGGTAGATGGCTGGAAGGACAGGGGACAAGCTGCAGAGAAGCGATCTCTACTCCTCCTCTCCTGTGGCATTACCCACAGGCCACCAGTCCTGGGAGCTTGTCCCAGGCTAGCCCACCACTCCTTACTCACCATAGTCCAGCTCGGCAGCTGGCCACTGGGTGCTCGTCCAGAAATAGGGTGTCTGGTGGGGTGCAGAGACAAGGGTGTCCAGGACCTCCTGGGCCTTCCCCTCCCCAGGGGCTGCCCCCACTCTCTCAGCTCCCTTGGGAGGAGACTGGGGTCTCCTCTCCTTGTCTGGGGTTGCCTGAGGATCTGTCCACCTATGGCCTGGAGGCTCACTGACCCCCAGCCATTCTCTCCACCTGGAACCCAGTTCCACTCACCCCTTGGAGCCCTGTGCAGGGACTGCCCCCCTGACTCTGGGCTCCCTGAGGCCCGGCTCCAGGGCGGGGTGGGGAGGGGCCTGCCCAAGCCCCCAGGGTAGTCACAGCCTGTGCTGGGGGGCAGGGGGCAGGGACTGGGGGCAGGCCCTGCCAGGGTCCCTGTTGTGGCCGGGGAGGGCAGGAAGACGCTCCGTCACTACTGAGGACACACTGAGGGGCAGGGATCCTGTCCTCAGGTCTCCCAGCCTCCTTCTTCAGGGGACCCCTGGAGAAGCCCACAGAATCCTCCCAAGGTATTACCCTTTATGGGGGCCCTGCTGTGGCCCCAGAGAAACTGCAAGTTCCTCCCCTTAACGTGGTCCCTCTACCACAAGGACCCTTCCAGTCTATGCCTTTTGGGGTGGGGCAGTGGGCCACCAGGCCCGCAGTGAAATCACTCCGGCCGGGCTCCAATCCCAGCCCCTGCCTTCCAGGGGTCCCCACTAGTTGAACTGCTGCTGCAGTTCCCACCTGCTCCGCGTTGAGCCTGACCTGGAACCTGTAGGGTGTGTCGTCGGGCCAGAGCACAAGGCTGCGGGGGTCGCCCAGCGGGTATAGGTAGCCGTGCTGCACCAGGAGGGTGCCCAGGTGCAGGGCCTCTGGGGGCGGGGTGGGGAGCGCTCAGCGGAGAGCCGAGCTAGGTCTCCCCCCTCCCCGGACGAGCTCCCCCTCCCCCGCACACTCTGTTTGGCCCTGACACCCGTGAGCCGAAGGCCCCGCCCAGGCCATCAGCACAGCGACCCCAAAGTGGTGGTAGGGGGCAGGATGGGCAGCCGGCCCACCCCCTCACCCTCCTCTGAGATGCAGTACTTCTGGATCAACCACTCCACGACGTCGCTGCCTGCACAGCAGAGACTGGGGTTGGGGGAGGCCGAGGCAGGGCCGCTCCCAGCCCCCCCACGCCCCCTGCCCCTGCGGCCCCTCACCGGCCACCGCGTGGGGGATGACGGTGATGAACAGGCGCTGGTTCCGCATCTTCACGCCCTGGTCGGGGTCCTGCATACTCACGACCACTCGCTCCATCTGGGCGAAGAGGGCCTTGAGGGTCCGCTCCGGCTGGCCTCCACCGCCCGCGACCCTGATTCCCGGACCGGCCGGGCTGCCCAGATCAGGGCGTTCAGAGGGGATTAACGCGCACTGATGGCGGATTTCAGGCCGCGGCTGGCAGTGGAGGCGCACGCGGGGGGGCGGGAGGCAGAGGCGCGGGGCGACCCCCCCCAGCCCCGGGGTCTCCGCCGTCCACCCCGCCCCACACACAGCCAGCACCCCCAGGCCTGCCTCCACACTCGCGCGCTCGCGCAGCGTCCACACTCGCGCGCACCCGCAGACACTCCTCTCTGGCCCTTCCCGCGCGCAGATGCCGGGAAACCCGGGGGTACGGCAGGACCCCCACTGCGCACCCACCTTGCTCAGATGCAGCCTCTGCGCGCGGGGGCGCCCACCGGGGGGCGCGGGGCTGGCGGCCATGGCGGCACGGCCACCGGGTGAGTGTGTCTAGCGGCCCCGCCCCGCGCCCGGCCGCGCCCCGCCCCGCGCCCCAGTTAACTCTCGGCGGCCGCGGGGCCTGGGTTGGCTCAGGGCCCACTCCCGGTCTGGGAACCGGCCGGCGCCCGAGGAGTCTCCCCCACGATAAGAGAAACTGAGGCCGTGCCCCGGGGACTCGCCAGGGACCTAGTGAGGGGGCTTGTGAGGGAATCGGGGCCCAGCTGGGACAGGAGGGGGGCTCAGGGAGAGGGAGGGGGCTCCGTGCGGGGAGGGTCTCCAGGAGAGGGGACTTGGGGCGAAGCTGGGCTGCTGTGGGGGACAATGGTTTTGGATCAACTGTAACCCCCGCACCGCATACTCACCCCACGTGCAGCGCCGTCAGGGTGTGGAGACCAGCGGCAGAGTGGGCTGTGGGTCACTGCGAGGGGTCTGACTGCGCTAGAATTGTGTCCCTGCGATTGTGTGACCCCATTCATGACACCCTGTGAGTGCCACCAGGTTGGTATGACACTGTGTGGCTGCATAGGTGCTGGGTGGGGGTCCTTGGAGGCTTGGGGGGAGGTGGCAGGTGGCTCAATTCCCCTCAGCTGCAGGACGCCTGGGTGGGGCCAGTGGAGGAGCAGGCAGAGACCCCACCCAGGACACCCCTAGACTGTGGGAGAGGGGCTTCACTGGGGAGGCAGGATCTCAACCCCACCCCAGGTTCGCCCCAGGGCTGGGCAGTTCTGGCCCTTTGTCTCTCTCCAACAGCTTCGCCATACCCCCCACCCTTTTGCTGGAGACATTTTTAAGAGGTGCAAACAGGTCTATTCTGCCTTGTGGAGATAGAATATCCCTACTCCCCTCCCCCTCAGGGGGAGCTGGGGGCAGGGCAGGATGGGGGGTTGGCCTTTGGCCAGCAGCCTCGGACATGGCGATCTGAATCCATTTCCATGCTGACGAGGCCAAGGCCAGCATGAGCAGGGGCAGGGGACTGGAGGGACTCCTACCTCTGCCAAGGTGCCATCCCCCAGTGAACTCCGCCCCCACACGGGCGGGTCATGCTGGCCCCAGGCCTGGCTGTCCTCTCTGGATGGGTGGGCATCCACTGAGGCTGGAGGCCACCGGAGGCCAGAGCTGTCCCCAGCCCGGGGACATGTGGCTTCCTTGACTCACTCCTCTGGCCCCAGGGAAGGGGTGGCAGGGATGGGGCCTTCGAAGGGCCTGGGCCCAGCTGGGGGATCCTGCCTCGGAAAGATTATGGGTGGGTGGGGTTCCCAGGGGGACAGGCTGCATCCAAGCCCACATGCCCCCAGCACTCACGGGCTGCTGGCCTCCTGGTCAGAGAGGCGCTCCTCTGGGCAAGGGTGGGTGTGATCCTGGGTGTCCTCAGAAATGAGGGTGGGGGCCAAGGGGGTGTAAGGACTCAGGCTGGCATTCTGCCTCCTCCCCCACTCAGACCTCGGCCTTCCATCTGGCTGTCCTCAGCCTGAGGTCCAGCTCACCCCTGTTCCCTGCCCAGGCTGACCCCCATCTACCCACCCCAGGTTCGTTTAGGCATCAAAACCAGGGTCCCTCTGTGCCCCCTTCTCAGCACTCCATCCCTGGGGTTCTGTTTTGGATCAGTGTCCTTTTCTCCCCAAGGACAGGGGCCTTTAGAATTGTCTGGGTCCCCAGAGCCTATGAGACCTCCACCCTGCCAGACTCGCACAGCTCGATCAATAAACACTTGAGTGATGGCTGTGTGTCTCCAGATTGCAGCTCACTGTGTGGGTGGGCCCTCGGCCCCTGTGTGGTGGACACTGTGAACCTCTGGGGTGCGGGGCCAGGAGGCGGTGCAGACACACACAGCCCCCTCCCACCTGCCTCCGCAAGGCTGGGCGCGCTCCAGGAGTCCCCTCTGCCCAGACAGGAGCTCCAGCGGGAGTGGGGTAGGGGAGGGGAGCCTGTCGGGCGCCAGGTGCGGCCTGCACTGCCTGCAAGTAATGAGGGCCTGGGGACACGAGGGGGACGCACCTGCTCCGCTTGGCGCCCCCAGCGCCACCTGCCCCGCCCAGGGGGCTTCCCCGGAGACTCCCCAGACGCCCGCGGCGCCGTGGGGGCGGGGCGGCCCCAAGGGCCAGAGCAGGGTGCGGGCCGGGCGGCGGCGGGGACAGTGACGCGGCCTCGTGCGTCCGTGTCCG